AGAGACCATAGCAACATGACTATGTTCATTGGCGTTCTGACAGCTGTGCCCTGGATTGTGGTTATGGCTACTGTGATCACCGACCTCGGGGCAGTGCAGAAAGCATTTTTGCCTAGCATGGAGATCTTCTATCAGGCAACTGGGAACAAGGTCGCTGCTACGGTCTTGCAGGCATATCTAACTCTGCTCTACTACAGTATGAATCTCTACCATGAACCCCCTCACCAGGACACAACCTAGCTAACCGAAGCAGCATGCGTGCCCAGCCAATGGATCGCCTCCAGTCGAATAGCATGGGCATTTTCACGAGACGTAAGTACCTCAACCATTGAGCCGAGCAACGAGGAAACAAGCTAACAACATGCTAACTTCAAGAACGGCCTTCCCTTCTCGTCCTATTGGAGCCACATCGATCCAGTCCGCCAAATCCCTATTCGCACTACTCTACTCGCGGCCGGCTTCTGTCTCCTCTACGGCCTCCTCTACATCGCGTCAACCGCGGCGTTCAACTCGATCGTGAACACGGCAATCCTCATTCTGAATATAACCTATACTGTTCCACAAGGAATCCTGGCTACTTGCGGACGCCATAGGCTACCCCGCCGGCATTTTGACTTAGGGCCTGTTGTCGGGTACGCGGTGAACATCTTCTCGGTTATCTGGTTGATCATCAGTGGGATCTTCTTTTGCTTCCCGGTTACGGTGCCGACGACTCTGGATAGCATGAATTAGTGAGTTCTCCTTTAGATCTCCCTTTGAATTATGGGGCTGTGGCTAAGATAGTAGTAATTCGGTGGTCATCACGGGTCTCTTTGGACTGATCTTACTCCTTTGGATTGAAAGGAGGCATAAGTTTAAAGGGCCGGAAATCGATTGGGACGCTTTGAATGCTAGCAATACGCTGAGATGATTGATTGATGGACATGACATAAAATATACGAAGGATAGATCATAGCTCATACTTTATTCCAGACCATTACAGGGGGAAATCAAGGATGTACTCTCATCGGGCTTTCCAGCATACTTCCGGTTCTTCGACCACGTTACCACCTAGTGAGAATATCGTTCTTCTTCTACCCTGGGCTGAAGACCTCTTAACAGTTGTAGTGCAAGTCTTGTTCCTATAAAAGCTACCCAAAAAGAAATTGCACATTAGACCCCTCGGCCGACGTGCCTTTGGTCTTCTCATCAACCACATCCCCCCACCATCTATCTCCACCCCAGATGTCCTCCAGCAATGCCGGTACGGAATGAAACATATTATATCTACTGCGTTCTCCCCACCAGCGGCAATAACTCCTAGCCAAATCCCGCATCTCTTCATCCCCCGTCTCGCTGCCAGCCAAGAAGACAGGCAACAATAACTGTTTCTGCGTCTGCGAAGTCCGTCTACAACACCGTACATGATTGAGGGTTAATCTCGCAAGACAAGGGATGGACAATGGTCGGGTCTGGTTTCGATCCCATCGAAAGATCCGCTCGATATAGAGGAGGAGGGCATAACGCCATGCCTCGGCACAATGGTGGCGGTCCTGCCGCGCGTGAAACGTGTCTTCGTCGAGTGGGAGAGTGCGAGTACCGTCCTCGACGTTAGGACCGGCCTGGTTATATGAAGGTGCGGCGAAGGAAGGGTGTGTCCAGGACCGAAGTTGTTCTTCGATCTGGACGATGGGGGTTAGGTTAAAGGTGAGCCATTCCATGGTGGAGGCGATTGTGCTTTGATGGGATAGTTCTGCTAGCTTGAAGATGATGGCTACGAGGTCGCTTGGACAACCGGTGAGATCGTAGAATGACCATCGGTCTTTCTTCTCAGCGCGTATAAGGTGGTCGAGGTAGGGCTGGGAGAATACTGTCCCTTGGCGGGAGATTAGCGCCAAGGTTGCGTCCCACCTGGTTTCTATATTAGATAGAGTATGTTGGTTGTGGGCATGGCGCCGGCTTACCACAGAATCATGGCTACTTGAGCTCGAATGCGCGCATTATCAAGGGCTGATGGACCCCCACATGCTTCGAGGATGGAATGCGCTCGAGTTAAATAGGTGGACCATCGCCCGGAGGCAGACAGGGTACACTGAGGAGACATAGGTCAGCTTTGTATTAAGCGCTGATGATGATAACGAAGGGTCAGTTGCAACTTACATCCAGGGTGAAGAGGACCAAGAGTGGATCCAGCAACGTCAAACCTTTCCTTGCGAGCTGGTCACTTTGGAGTGCATTCTCGAGGAGCTTAAACGCCTGGTTACGGTGCTCTCTCTCTTCTGAGGACGGTGTTCCAGTGATCTGGCTGAGATGCCGGCAACACAGTGCCAGGATGGAATGGAACAAGAGCCTTGAACCTTGGGACAGCGGCTCACGGCAGCGGAAGGGATTCAGCGCTGTATCGGATGTCAGGGGGAGGACACAGAATTCCGTATCATCTGTGAACATGTCGTCAGAACACAACATTCACAACACTCAAGGACCCACATCATACACATTTGCAGCAATGCCTCATGCTGATTCCCTAAAGGTTGGTTTGGGCCTGGCCCAGCTCCACTTACGGATTCCAAAGTGGGTGCGCGTAATGTTGACACCAATCCCTCCACAGGGCCCATATCCGAGGAGATAAAGGACAAGCCGTCCTGGAATGCGTCACCTAATCCAAAGCCGGAGACCTCCCCTGATGTACGCTCCATCATACTCGGGGTCTCCAGGGGGTAAGCAGAGGAGTCGGTTTGTAGTAAAGACGCAAAATAGTCTTGTGGAGTGGGTATGTCAATAGTCTCATGCTGATAGAAAGCTAGAACCCGTTAGCATCATAGATACGAACTGCGATGTGACGTGGACATGGGGCCCATGGCCAGCCATACAATCAGAGGGGTCGAATAAATGCTCGGATTGAGCAAGAGCCACCAGATCAAACGACGGTTCATCATCACCGCGGGGAGAAACATCACTATCGGCCACATCCACCGGTTGCGGGGGATGGACGGCCTTTGCCTCGACCTCCGCACGCGTGGTATTTCGGGACTGCACCACTTTCCGGCGTTTCCGATCTCGTTTCCCACCCAGTACAAACTTAAAATGCCGAGGAGGGTCTTTTCCTATCTGGCCATTTCCTATCTTGGGAGTTGTAACGGCTGCATCCTCCCCGGAGTCATCCTGACCGGCTAGGGCTCTGTTGCGCGTGCGTCTATGATCCCACGACAGGGGCGTTGCAAAACCACCACATTTACGACCGTGACTGATGCAGGTAGTGCATTGTGGTCGCTGGCGATCGCATTTCTGACCCCTTGAGGCGCACGTATGGCAATCAGAACGGGCAAAGGCCAAGGAGTTGGTTCTCTTTCCAACTTGGGTAGCCATGCCAGGGGAATTTCCTGTCCGGGAGATTTGGGCGCTGGGAAGTGGTAAGGAAATGGAAGGCAGAAGCAGTTTTGCCGATTAAGTATTTTTATTTGACGACCGGGGTCGACGTATATACTCTCCTCGCTAGCCTCAGGGCAATTTTTACGCTGCATAACTCAAAATAGCCTGTTATCCAGGACAGCAGACTCTACCTCCACTCCACAGCGGGGCCACGGAAAGCTTCAAATTACGATTCGAATTAGTTTCCTGGCGCATAGCCAAGTGTTATCATCTGACGCGGGCATAGGGAGAATCTGCATCAGAGCTGGATAAATGGGGAAACCTCGCTCCGTCGGCTAACGCTGCAGGTACATCGATTAATATTTTACAGTCACCTAGTGTAGAAGTGGATCTGATAGCTTGGCCCAACAAAGCGCGCTGGATAATGTCTCAGCGAGCAAGCATCGGTGTTTTACCGGGCAGGAGTTGAGTCTGAGCTCACCTCAATGCTGCTGGCTATTTTACCCAAATAGGCAAGTGGGTATCCGCAGCCAGTCAGCGTGTTGCATCAAGTCAGTGGCCCTAAGTGCGCCCTTGCTGTAGACCGGTTATGATAATAATCGTCTGCTTGATATTCCCTCAATCTGTCAGGCTTTGGTCAACTGCTTCTTTCTCCATTTTAGGTAATTGAATTGTATTGCCTTCATTTGCGGCAAATCAGGGTACCCGGTAGCATCACTGTGTCAGATAAATATAGATCTATGCGTTTTATATACAGACATAGTAGACCTATACACCCAAACCCTAGTTGACATTGATATCCCATTCAACCCTACCAAATTCCTACCATCACAAACACCATGCCAAAAACCACCTACCAAAACCTCCCCGGCCCAGTAGGCGACTGCCTGAAGCCAGCCTCCCTCGCCACAACAGCCACCGTGCCCATATCGCCCACCAGCTCTCTCGTCTTCACTACTGGCCACATCGGACTGGACCTCAAAACCGGCGACCTAGTCCGTGAAACAGTAGAAGCAGAATTCGAAGCCATCTTCACCTGCCTAGATGCCGCATTGAAGAATGCCGGTGTGAGCCAGGGACTGGCCCAGGGCTATCGTTTTACTAGCTACCTTGTCCATGTCGAGGATGAGAAGGTTATGCAGGATGTGTTTCGGAGGATGGTTCCGGGGCATACGCCTACCTGGTGTACGGTGATTGTCAAGGAGATAAATGTAAAGGGGATGAGGGCGGAGATTGCGGCTGAGGGGGTTGTTTATCATGATTGTTAGGGGACTGTGTTGGTATGTACCTTTGAGTTCCTGGGTGATTGGAAATGATGTTATACATGAATTTAAGCGGATGTTTTTTTTTTGGCTTGTATTTGTTGATATTGTGAGGAAGTTGCGTAGAAACGCTGTCTGAGGGGACGAGGTTTTGGTTGCTAGTGGTAGCGGTTCAATTGTAACGCTTCAGTCTTCATCTTGCTGGTTGGATCTCACGAAATAGTTGAACTATATTCTGATTTTGCTGAACTGACTCTTCACCTCTCTAGTATTCGGGATGTTGCATGTCAGTGTCATCAGAGTTATAGAAGCGGTGTACTAGGCTTGAAAAACATTGAAGCGTAATACATTGGTGCTATGACTATCAACTACTCTAACATAGAAACGAAACTAATTGTAGAGACCACCATTAGCCGACAAGCATGCTCCCGTGGTCCAGCGAGCATCATCACTACAAAGGAACGCCACCAGCGGCGCAACATCGTCCACCTCTCCTACGCGAGCCGCAGCCGGAGTCGACTCAATCAAGGGCTGCATGTCTTTCAGGAACTGCTCGTCACTCTGGAACCATTGATCTGCAGGACATTAGCATCAAGACGAACGAATCGGAATATGTAACCATAACACAAGTACGTACCAGTAGCAATAGGGCCAGGGTTAACGCAGTTGACCGTAATATTATGCGACTGGCCAAGCTCCTTAGCCCAGACACGCACCAACGCCTCATCCGCGGCCTTGGTAGCCGCGTAGACAGTCTGGCCGGCAACACCCAGACGCGCACCAGCAGAGGAGATAAACACAATCCGCCCACCCTTCGCAATATGCGGGACAACAGTCTTGGTCAGGAAGATGGGACCGCGGACATTGCAGTTGAAGTGCGTCTCGTAGAATTCCGGAGTGGTATCGACGAGGTTTGCTTCCAGACCTTGGGCGGCACTTTTACCCACCAACATGTTAGCGTATAGAAAACAAGATGAGGGAGTGGAATGACGAACTTGTGAATCAGGATCTCAATCTTGCCGGTTTCGCTGATCTTCAGTGCCGCGTCAACGAGCAAAGGGATTTCCTCTAGCTTGCTAACGTCCGCGCGGCAGAGGATGGCCTTCGTGCCGATCTGGTTGTTGATCTGGTCTACGACCTCCTGGGCGCGCTTCGCACTGCTATCGGAGACGTAGTTGACGACGACATTGGCGCCGCGCTTGGCGAGGAGGAGGGCAATGCCGGCTCCGAGACCTCTATATTGTGTAGTTAGCATATGCTTGATGCAATCGGAGGATCCTGTTTGTTGCTCACCGAGAGGCACCTGTGACAATGGCAGTCTTGCCCTTCAGGGACACGCCAGAGAAGTCGGTGATCATTTTGATGTAGATGTAAGAATTGGAACTGCTGTGAAAAGCTTTGAATGATTGTATAGAAGTACAGAGATTGTGAACCGTGAAGAATATTGTAGGTGCTATATATCTCTCTTATCAGTTTCATATCAAGCTCCGATACCACTGCCAACCCCGCATCAATGAGGGGATCCAGAAGCTTCTGCAAAAAGGCGATATATATGGGTTCAACGACATTGCTGAATCGGGAAGTTGAGGGCTTTGCCAAATTAGGGAACTGGCCCAACTTCACGCTTGGCGGGAAAACTTCGGATATGAATTAATTTGGAAGGCTTCAAGGGTTACGGAGTATTTGCTTTGCTGATCAGAACCTTGCCTTAGACTGTGTCGTCGTACTCCACATGAGAAAAAATGGATTAGGGTAAAAAGGGAAGAAGAGAAAAAGAGCACTCTTGCGTACAATGTCTGAATTATACTAGTTTGGCACTGTAGGTACAAGTAATAAACTAATATCAAAGATTAGACCTACATGATTCCAACCACTCTTTCGAAATCCTCTGCAGCCCATCCCTCAACCACGGAGTTTCCAAAGTTGCGTCGACATCAAATCCGTGGTCCCCATCTTGAGTGTAAAACATGACCCGGGCATGCGGTACCTTCTCCCTCAAAAACCGCACAAAATTCTTTGAGCTATCTACCGGAACTGCTGAATCCTGCTCTCCATGAAAGATAAACATCGGTGGTAACTGGACACTCTCTCCTGTCAGGATTCGGTCCTGGAGTCTCTCCATTGGAAAAAGCCCTCTATCCTTGGACCCGAAGAAATCTAGAAACTTGCCGTTCTGAACCATTGAAAATGCCAACTCCAGCCGATCTGGCGGGTCAGCTGCTGTAACCCATTCAATTTGGCTCTGTTCCCTAGTTGCCATCATAGCAAGATGATCGTCAAGTAAGCTGACTGGGACATTGGGTACTCCGACAATTGGTTTAGAGTATATCTCCGTGTAGAATTTTAACCGCAAATCCACCATGGGATACGCTGTAATGACCCCACGCATGTCAGACGGATAGGTGATTGCTAGTTGAATGGCTAGATAGCCTCCTAGATTATGAGCGTCAGATCCACAATCAAAGCCACGAGGAAAAGTCAGAGGGAATATCTTGTACCAGCGCTTTCGCCGACCACCAAGACAGAGTTCTGGTCCAGCGTTACACCTTGGTATCCCGCTCCCCAGATAATGGGATCTACTGATCCGCTGTGGAGCCAGTGCCAAAAGTCATTCATGTCATCTAGGATATCTCTCCCAGTTACTTCAGGGAGAAGCCTGTAGTTGGGGGAGAAGATGATGGCGTTGTTTATCAAGGCGTATTCCAGGATCCAGTTGCTGAACCACGGTGGGTACAAACTTGATCCCGTTACCTGTCAACAGTTTAGAATTGTTTCGAGGATAATCTCCATCATAACGTACAAGAAAACCTCCATGGATTCGCACGATCACCGGCCGTGGCCCTTGGTACTGGGTATCCCGCAAAGCGCGTGGAATGAGTATGTCCGCTGTGATGTGGGAATTTCCATCTCTGGATGTCTTATATGTAGCATTAACGGTATGAAAAGCAGAGTACTTCTCTGCATTGTTAATTGAGTCGAGCACGTTCAGTAAATCAAAGAAGGGTGTAGTGGGCATGGCTGTTTCTCGTTTTCTTCCAGCGCGGACATTCAGAAGTAAATTAATCGCGACGTCGAAAAGGTGCGGATCCCGCCTCCCACGGTACATATGAGACAGCTTGTGTAGTGATGTCTTACCAGCCAATATCTAATCTGTCTAATAATAAGAGGTGGGGTTTGTATTTCCCGATTTGGAAGGAAAAAGAATACTGGAGCTTGGTTGCTCCACATTAGTAGCTAGTAACCCCTTACACATCGTTCCTTGCCCGGGCTGAAATAAGGGTCATATATCAACGACCCAGCACATGATGCTGGCCTATGTTGTAGAAGCAATCTTACTCTGATCGCTTCGAGATCGCCGGTAAGGAGCACCAAGTAATGAGCATCGCCGCATACAGCGCAAGACAAATGGGATGCAGCACCATCGTGCCCACCTGCTGTGCAAGAATACCAGTCAGGAAAGGAAAAACAGCTCCACCGCTACTACCAAGAGCGCTGATGAAGCTCAGGCTTACGAGTTGCATCTGCCGGGATAAGAGTTTCGCAAAAACCGCCGTAGAGCATGGGTATAATGGACCCAACAACAGGCCCAGGATCGCCACGGCCACGGCTTCACCGATAATGTTTGGGATCAGCCAGGTCATGAGTTGAAAGGCAATCGACCCGACAACTAATACCCCGACGATAACTTTCTCTCCAATTCGATGGGCAGGGTACACAATCAGAAATCGCCCAACAGTGATGCCAGCCCAAAAGCCGGCACTCACATAGCCGACACTTCGAGAATCACCACCCCGGTAGTTGATGAGAAATGAGACGATCCAGCCTGAAACGGAGACCTCGGCGCCTTGATACGCGAAGATGAACAGTGATCCTAGTATGGTCGTGCGATTTTGAATCGCCTTATTTAGCATCTGCAATCGTCCGGGTGAATTGTCATTGTTACTGGCCATAGGAGGAATTGCCGAGTCGGGTGCCATTTGGGAGGCCATAGTGGCATTCTCATCGTAACTGCGAAATGCGAAGCTTGAGAGCAATAGGTTGGCCACAGCAACAGCCAGTGTGATGGTATAGAAATAGGTCCAACGAATGTCGTGAGACACCATGGCTGTGGCAAACAATGGTGAAATAACTCCACCGATGCCATAAGCTCCAGAAAAGCAGCCCAATGCAGTGGTGGAATTGTGAAGATTGGCACAGAAAACATTATTCATGGCTATGCTCATGGCCATTCCAAAGCCAAGAAGAAGAAAAGCTGCTACGATGACCGCAAAGGGTGGGTGGCAGACAATCGCTATATAGCTCACAGTGACGAGGCCCATGGACAGTGCATAGCTTTTATAATGGCCGATTTTGGCCTTGATCGTGTGAGTCAAAGGAGCGGCAAGGATAAATCCGACGGCGTTGGCGATGAAAATCAGTGAAACAATGGCATATCCGATGTGGTAGTCTTTCTCGAGATATGGGATCAAGGCACCAGGCGCACTATCGTTCATTCCATTCCCAAAGTTCATGAGACATGCACTGACTAGTTGCCAATTAGCCTTCTCGTGTGAGTGTGTCTGGTTTGTTGCCCACTGCGTTGCTTGCGGTGCGTCATCATATGCTTGCTCGCCAGAATCGCCATGTTGTTTCGACCCATCATCTCGCCTGTCTCTACCTGGCTGAGATCTGCTCTTGGTTGGTGCAATGGTATTCAATTCATGACTCGACAGCGATCTCGAAGCATCATACTGTGGGTATAATGCGGGACTCGGAACTCGTGGAGATGGTTGCTCTTCCGGAGATGTGCCGGCGGTCTTGTTTGGTATCATGATAAGTAAACAACGAAAGCCTTCAAGGAGAGCGATAATACAGAATCCTGTGCGGGAATCTGATATCAAGGGTTCCTACAGGTTAGAATGAGGACTTGTTGAGGGCATCAATCGTTACTCGACAAAGAAATCAATATCTCGCCTCAGAGTCACGATTACAAATCAACCAGCAACTTCGATCCACAAACCCACGGATGTACACTGCATCTACGGGGTGAGGTTGAGGATTGGGCAGAGCTGTGGATCCATTAGCCTGTTACCAAAGTATAAAACAAGTGCTAGTAAGTCTGGTTTTATATTACACTCGATGATCAAACATCACTCGAACAGACTTCAATATTACAGCTCCGGCTAACACTCGCATTCCTTGTGCTGTAAGCTATTGGTACATTCTCCAGTATCAAGTATGCGCTAACTTCGAGGCAGAAGAATGCTTGGTGGAAAGCCGTTTTCTATTTCTCCGAAGCAATTACAACAGCCTTGACTGGCCATGCTCGCGTAACCTGTGCCATACAATGATTTCTGTTGAAGTCTGAATCATCGATGCATTAGAATGGGCTTAGAATCATCTAATGGACTTTCTTTGTTCTTTTCTATTTGGCTGGGTTAAGAAGAATGACAAGCTTGAGTACCCAACCACTTCATATGCCTCTGCTTTGGAAACTCCCACGCAGTGGAGCTCATCAGACTGCCGGTCTACCGGTACGCATAAAGACATTTGACGGCTGGTCACGACCCCGGAACTGATCGTCCACGTCGTAACGGAACTCGCCCCCTTCTTGCTCAAACCCAAGTTTCCTGTAAACGTGCCGCCCCATGCTCGAAGCTTCCAGCACAGCCTCCAGTCCGCCGCGCGCCTTGGCCTCCCGGAGGCCCCATTCTACCAGTTTGGTAGCAATTCCAAGTCGCTGACATGCTGGGTCGACCACACATAAGTCCAACACCATCACCGCCGGGGACGCACTCGTCGCAATCTCCCGGATTACCTCCAAGCGACGCCGGCGCAGTGAGAGGTCTACCTGCCGGAGGTACCGCTGTTCATCCGGCTGATTTGGGTACAGAGCTTCCAGGTCTGCATTGCCGATCTCGGCTGCAGGCGCCTGGCCGTGCCCGACCACCGCGGAAGCCTGCTCCCAGATAGCCGCGCCGACAATCTTCCCCTCATCCGAACCACCATCAATGACAGCCTTGAGAAAGATGGTGTTGCGGTTGCCATGCCGGTCATTGGTGGTGGCGGACCAGCGCGCAGCAAGACGGGCACTTCCGCTCGCATGACCCTCGGGCGTGTCCCAGCCAGGATTCATGGCGCACCAGACCCCATCGTGGACCTGAAGGCCGAAGGTGAGGGCCGCAAGCTCAAAGAATCGGCTGAAGTCCGCCGGCGCAGTGACGGGCTCCACGCGAATTTGGGTCATGTTGGACTGCGTGTTCCAGGCGTTCTGGTCGTTCGTGGTACTGTCGGGGATTATGATGGTGTGTTTGCTAGTGGTGGTGTTCTTTGAAATATGCTGAAGTCGGTCTGCTTACCGTGGCAAGATCTACTGGGCTTACAAATTATATACCCAAGGGAAATTCAAATTTCTAGTTGGTTAAATAATCCAACTAATCGTTTGGTAGCCGAGATGGACCTCTAAGCGAGTCTCCTTGGCATGCTTGGCTTGATGCCTTAATCTACGCACCGTAGCCATCATGATGTCTATGTCAACGTTTCAGTATATTCTCAAAATTTGGGGTAACCTTCTTGGAACCTTCTGGGCGTGTCGACTTTGTTGGTTCCACCGGGGAGTCTGTTTTATATGTGGTTTCTACGCAGGGTGGGCTACAGTTGCCGAGTTACTATCCGAGATGTCGTTGGAGGGCGCATCTCCACTTCTTTCATTTTGGGTTCACCAACACCAAAGAAAAGAAATTAAAAAAATAAAAAACACATCTTTTGTTATATAGAAACTACACAAAAATGCATGAAGATATTACTGACCAGGTTCAGCTCGTCGTCTTGGGACCCAAAACCGTATAGAATATAGCACTAATACCGGATATTACCAGCATACCTCCTTTGGATGAAAGCTATGAGCCATGATCAAGTACGCTATATTATCTCCGGCTATCAAGCACAATTATCTGGTTAAGAAGATTGACGTATAAAAATGGTCTAGCAGAATGTTTATACATAATCCATGTCTGGTGGATGGCTGATCCAGTTTCGGTTTCTGAAATTACCAGCTCAGTAGAGAGCATTCGCTCATATTTGAAAGTCTACAAGCATCAATAGACTTGAATAAGGTCTGATATTCTGACGATGCAGTGAATCACTGGTGGATCCCATCTGTAACTAGTTTAAGTAACTATGCTTGATCAACCACGTTTCCATGTATGTGTTATCACAGCCTGAGAACAGCAGTGCCGATACCACGAGTGATGCTGCTAAGGATGGCCAGATTTCGGTCGGTTCCACACGCCTCAAGCCCCTGTATTGCTCGTCAAGGCGTCGAGTATCGTCTACCGGTAGTAACGGGGACTAATAATGTTCAAGATAGGAGACACCTCTTGGTGGTTCCTGGAGGCGGGAAGTTCGGAGTGGGCGTTTAGGGCTGCATTAGAGATGTCAGTGCGTTGAGTCCTGGAGAAACTGTGGATCATCCGTTAGGAACCAGTGTCTATTCTCTTGGCTTTGGTAGAGTATATCTAGCCCAGTTGGGCAGTGAGGAAGTCACATGGAGCAAACTACTCAAGATCCTTGCGAGTTATCACTATATATTCTCACTGAATCTTGTGCAGTCAGTTCTACTTATCCTGTATCGGATAGCAAGGAGAGGGACATCTCAATTATCGTCGATAGAAATGTTTTCAACACTCAATATAGTCTTTCACTTACTCTGATTTATGCTACTTCCCGGCGTGTTGCTCACATATACGTGCAGGATATACCTTGCTATGAGAAGCCTTCATGCTTCAATGACTGTGTATGCTAATTCTTCATCCATAGTGTCAATCAAACTGAGATGACAGCTTGTCTCCGCTGTGGAAGGCTATAGTTACGCAAAGCTCAACAAACTGAGAACAGACAGTACCGAATCAACCCCGACTACATTGGTACTATTTTTGCGACGAACAGAAATAGTCCCAGCGACCCGCATTTAGACAGGACCAGAGTCTCTCATTATTACCTTGAGCCTGTCCAACAGGGCAATTGATAAGACTTTTATAAGACTACTCACCTTCCTAACTAGGCAGTCGGCTGTACCCACGGAACTGACGGCTGTGTCCGGACGGCTGCTCTAACTTAATATCAACGTTAATATTGATCAGGCCAGAGCTGTTTCGCGTTGACATGGACAACTAACCCACTGATTTCCCTTTCTAGACATGTTCCTATTCATAGACCAAACGAGTTCGCTTATAAAACTGCGGTGTAGGACTTGACCTCCGTATCGTTACTCGATATCGAAATTTCAAAGTAATCAAAGGCAAATTGCAAAGATATATAGTCTACTGCTTTCTCTGTCCTTAACACATCTGCCAAGTGGCATTTGTTGTCCACACATAAAAGGTAGCACTACACAAGATGAAGAAAACCCAGGATGGTTATCTATGGACAAAGGGCACTGGCGTCCGGAAAGGTAACCTCCATTGCGGAGGTGTTGTGGACCCTCCTGAGAGACAAACCGCTCCTGCGGACTACATCTACGATGCCATTGTCATTGGGGCTGGCTATAGTGGCCTGATGGCCGCCCGTGACATGACAGACTGCGGTAGGTCAATGTTCTATCGTACAGAAATCTAGCTCATGCGCTATAGGTCTCTCGGTCTTGATGTTGGAGGCCCGTGATCGTGTCGGTGGACGAACCTATACTGTCGAATCCGATGGTAAATTATTCTCTCTTCAGTCCGTCGGATTAATTTTGTAGCATAACTAACTCGCTAAAGGCTTCCTATACGAGATGGGAGGAACATGGGTCACACACCATATGGCATATCTATTCCAAGAGATGACGCGGTATAAGTTGGATAGAGACCTTATTCTTACTCACGACCGACAACATGCCAACGACTACTACACAATTAACGTTCCAGGTACACTAAGCCTCATCTACCTTATATGACCTCTTGGATATGTCTAACCAATCATTTATTCAGGGGCAACCCCACGAAAGCTCCCTCACGAAGAAGCAGGTGAAATCACTGCGCGAGCGTGGAATATCTTCGTCAACGTGGATGGACAGAATTGCCGCGCAATCTGTCCACTACCCCACGCCCAGCTCGATAACATTCTGGTCGACCGGCGTGACGTGGAACGATACGACAAGATCTCCTGTCGCGACCGGTTCGAAGAGATCAAGCACTTATTGACGCCCGAAGAGGCAGGAATCCTTACCGCGTTGCTGCTCCACATCTCCGGTGGTAGTATGGAGAACTCAAGCCTGTGGGACATGATCCGCTCCCATGCGCTGATGTCATATAGCCCGGACAACTTTGGCCCGATCTGGACCACATTCAAGCTCCGTCAAGGCCAGTCGGCCCTTGCTCGTGCTATGTTCGAGGAGGCCGTGGATAACGGCCTGCAGTATGCTTTTCAGACACCGATCGAGTCAGTCATCGATGAGGCCAACGTAGTAAAGGTAATCACAACAGGAGGTAAGCAGTATCGGGCTCGTCGCGTGGTGAGCACTATTCCACTTAACGTGCTTCACACTATCTCCTTCACTCCACCTCTTTCTCCTACGCGCCAGCAAGCAATTGAAATCGGACACGTCAACTACATGACCAAGATCCACGCAGATGTTAAAGGATCAGTCCTAACCTCGTGGAACGGCATGCGGTATCCCAATCTTCTGATGTTCGGCTATGGGGACGGAGTAACACCCAGCGGCAACGCGCATATCGTGGGTTTCGGTAAAGACGAGCGAGGCGTGTTTGTCCCTGAACGAGATCCAGAGAAGGCCATTGAGGCATTCCAAAAGCTACACCCTATGGAAGTGGAAAAGATGGTATTATCCTCATCCCCTGTTGACATACTTGCAGTATACTAACCCCTGCACAGGTCTTCCATAATTGGAACACCGATCCCTGGTCCCAAGGTGGTCCCGCATGGTGGCCTCCAGAGTTCATGTCGAAGTTCCAGGATGAGCTGCAGAGCCGCCATGGCCAGGTCTTCTTTGCCTCTGCGGACTGGGCTCATGGTTGGCGGGCATCCATTGACGGTGCGCTCGAGCAGGGATCTGAGGCTGCACTGCAGATTATCCGGGAGCTCAAGAGTGCCAGTAATAAGCCCGTAAAAGCCAGGATTTAGTTCTACGGATCCAAGTGTGGACGCTTTGCAGGATAGAGCTTTTCTCTTGTTCTGATATAGTAGTAGCTATCATAGCATTGTTAGTGTCAATTAATTACCTGTCAAGCGTAAAACTTCATTTCAATCTGATAGAAAGATATCCACCAAATAGTAAAACAAACCATCCGCCCTATCCTCTCACCTCCCTATACATACAGTCTATGCTGACGGTATATAAAACGTGCCTTACTTCGGAGTATACTTGTCCCAACACACCAACCAAAGACAGTTAGTCCAGACCCACCGATAAGGCCGATAAGCGCGGCTGTTAAAAGACCGAAAGTAGTTAGCGCATCGGCACGGTGAGGGCCGGCAGATATCCCCCGCCCCCTCACCTGACTCTCAGGCCCCACGCTGCTGGCCGTTTGCCCCGAATAGGCAAGGGAGTTTGGGCGCCGGGGAAATGTCGGAGATCCGACTGACGTTGTCCTCCGCGGGGTCCATGACCGTGGCATCATGATATCCAACTACGGTACATTTCATACTGAAACACTCACCCACCGCAACAATTGGACCCAGAACGGACTGAACAGGAGTGGAGCATTTCAGCAGGCAAAGTCCTAATCAGAAGATTGCCTAAAGAACAGCTGTTCGGTTCAGTTGAGCCCATATATTCTGGACCGTTTGGTCGATTTAAGTCGTTGCATAGCCGATTTACTCGCTCCTACTTATCTCAATCCCTGTATTTTTATTCCTAACACGCGGGAAACGATTATTGTCAGATTTCAATACACATAGACAAAATGGCAGCTACACAGAAACGCCCGGAGATTATCGAGCTGGCACGGGGGTTAAACGGGGTCCCCATGTGCGAAGAATATGAATGCATGATCTCTGGAATGATGTATGTTTGACTTCGGCTCAGTTCTAAACATCAGATCCCTGCTCAAGACCCGATTAAGGATTCCAAAGGTGAACGAACGCTAACAAAAGCCAGGTATAACCCCAACACACCCAAGCTCTTAGAAGCGCGCCACCGCTGCCGCGGCTTGACAGACGACTACAACAACCTGGACACCAAGACCGTCCCCTACGACCAGATCGCAGACAAGCGCATGGAGCGACTCCGGGCGCTCGTCGGCCGCGTGGGAGACGGGACTTTCATCGAGCCGCCCTTCAGACCCGACTACGGGTCCAACCTCATCATCGGAAGCGATTGCTTCGTCAACTGGAAGTGAGTGGGCCGATTACGCGCACGAACGCCACCTTCCACGAACGAGAAAAGCTAACAGGGCACAAACCAAACAGCCTGACAGTCCTAGACACCAGTCTCGTTGTTATCGGGGACCGGGTGCAAATCGGCACGAATGTCAGCATTATCACGGCCGGCCACGACACCAGTGTGCTTTCGCGCCGGAAGTTTGTCGAGTTCGGCCATCCGATTTTCATCGAGGATGATTGCTGGATTGGAGCTAATGTCGTGATTCTGCCGGGTGTGCGCATTGGGAAGGGATCCACCATTGGTGCTGGGTCCATTGTGACTAAGGATATTCCACCCTATTCGGTCGGAGTTGGCATTCCTTGTCGGGTGAAGAAGACGATTCCTTCGGTTGAGGAGGAGGAGAATGATCCTAGTAACCCTTATCGGAATCTGGTGAGGGAGGATAGAGAGTGATGGATTAGATTTGTTGGATAGATTTAATAGAGAGCTTTTTCAGATCTGTGAATATTGATGGATGTAGGTAGTATACCTTACAATTGTCTGCAAGTCACAAGACAAGTACAAATCTCCCCAAACTATGTATAGATACTGCACTTTCGTAAGTTCTGGCATAGTACAAAGTTCTTCCAATGGATACATCTATTCAGGTACCGTCGAGTGAGGCCGGTGGAAATGTATTAGCCCATTGTGGTATGGAAATATCTCTTGTGCCCTAAGGCGGACAAGGCATGAGAGAGAGAGGCATTGCCCATAAGTACGAAAGAGAACCGTTTTTCTGGGTACAAGGTGTCTAACACTCTCGGAACATATGATAGAAACCTGGAGCGGATCTGTTCATACGGAACAGCAACTATTTGTTGTTTCTCTATACTATTGTTGGGCCAAACCTCACTCACCCTCAGATAGTCATAGTTTGACAAAGGAGAAGTTAAGCTCACCGTCTGATAGAAATATTGCTTGAGCCATGAAGGTGCTGTTGTTCTGACAATGGAGCCATGCAGAAGGAACATAGATATTGTTACTTTTCGTGGTGTCGACAATTCTCTTCCACTGGGGAGTATCGTAGTCGAATGGTATGCACTGCCGAAAATGATCTAGCCAATATTTCACATCAGACAAACATGTTACTGTTATTTTAAGACAGCCATTGGACAAGCCTGTTGTAGTAATTATTTGTAGTAGCTTTTGCGGTCTATATTGCATAAGACGATGTGTTATGCCACCACACCTTAAAAGGTAGAGGTACATCAAGCCTTACTTTTCGCTCCTACTATCTGTATTGGCCAATTATGGGGACCCGAGAGCTATATTTCTAGGCTAATATGGTAAGCCATAGATATATATTGTCTACTACAGGACAAATATGTGGAGAGTCAAGACTGTTCAGTGCGTTGTCATTTGTTTGAGCGTGATATGGCAGCCCAATGCAGTGCCACATCTACCATATCGCTTTGATAAAGTTCATTCATCACTTGGGGATTCTTCGGAGGTACCAGTATCATCAAAACATGCTTTCATAACGACTGTTCTAAGGGTATTGTTCTAGTTCTCTAAACAACATGATAGGGTTTATTTCTTGGCTGCATCCTTCATCTCCCCCCGTTCGCGAACCAATGCAGCCATGTCGCGGCCAAGCTCTGTGCCAAGATTCTCGAATCCCTGAATCACACCGTCGCGGTCTCCCTTGGTGGACTCCTGGCTCATCTTGAACTTGCCCCCGATGTCCTCAATGGTGATCTCAATACCAATGATGTTCTTCTTCATGATCTCAATATACCGCTCAGGGGCCTCGGACACCTTCCACGAGTCCGGCCGGTCTCCCTCGCCTGTGTAGCCCATGATGGACGTTTCACTAAGCTCCGAGAGATCCTGAATCTGCTTCTGGAGATACTCCGAGGTCTCGGGGGCGGAACTGTCGTGATAGATCTTAGCCTTACCATAGGCCTGCACAGCGGCGTAGTTCCAGGTGGGGACGACCTTTGCCGTGGCGGGCTTGGTCTCGGTGTAGAACTTGGGAGTCACATAGTGGTGCGTGTTGGTCGTGAAGAGCACTTGGACTTCTTGCTGCAGTGGTGACGCAGAGGGTAGGCCCGCGGCGTCCAGAGCTTCAATGAATGTCTTGCTGTGCGGGTTCTGGCGGGCCATATGGCCGCGCAGCCGACCTTTCACCGGCGCATCCGGGTCATCGGAGATAATGTCCAGCACCCATGGGATATGACTGGACTGGATGAAGTGTTGCGTGGTGGATGGGATCGCGGTGGTGAGTACTCCTAGGGGGTTCTGTTGGATCAGCTCAAAGAGAGCCTTGATCGATGTTTCTGCGTGGATTGCGCGGAGATACATGGCTTTTTGTGCAATTATGTGGGATCGGGAGAAAGAGAGAGCGGGATGAAGGTGAGAATCGATTTTCGCAATCTTAACTACACTACAGAGGGGTCTGGGTGCTTTTATATTCCATGTCGAGGGCGTGAGTCATCACCTGACACACCCAACGGGCAGTCTGATCCGAAGTTTTAGAATTGAGAATTAAGGCACATCAGAGGAAGCCAATCTGAACGGAGTGGATCGAGGGGTCAACTGCACGTTGACTTGGAATTATACGCATCCTGATTGGTGCACAGGGCCGAGCAGTTGAAGGTGTTGGTCATAGCCTCTTAGGGCGCTGTTGAGTCCGAAATCGATCATGTAAGAAACATTCCATGACGATTCTACTGGCTCACAGCAACTCCCGGCTTGAGAAGAGAAGTTCTTTGTCGAATGATGGCAAACTCGTCGGATGGTGTCAAAATCTGCCACAGTTAGTGGGTGTCCCTTTTGGGAAGTTGATGGTAGTGGGGAATTACTAGTAATTCTAGGCCTGGTCCACCAATGGGATGCCAGAGATTCAGGAACAAGCATCAGTTTTAGGAAAGTCGCGGGAGTGGGCCCTAACATATCCGCTTGCAGACAATCATCTATAAATGCTGTTCCTCCGCAAGGTCTTGCATCATGCGGGCTTCCTCGAGTCTTTTTTCTTCAGTTCAGGGCTTCACTTCACTACTGCGGCATCATGTCTCCTGTAAACGATACTCATCGTTCGACTCGAGCATTGCATGCCGACGACCCGCTCAACCTCGTCACAGACGTTGCGCCTCCAATTCACTTATCGACAACGTACAGGTTTCCCAGTGATCCCAACGACCTCCTGCCATCGGTAGACCCTGTGGTACGTTGTCCTGTTACCATCAGGTACATGTTCAGGCAATTCCACTAACGCCTCTCCTAGGATGAGTTCAATGGAAAGAACTATGTATACTCTCGGGAGTTTGCTCCAAACGCAACTCGCTTCGAAGCGGTGCTTTCATCGCTAATCGGCGGGAATGCCATCTGCTACTCTACCGGATTAGCAGCTCTGACCGCCGCTCTGGTACTGCTGAATCCCCGCCGCATCTCCATCGGCGAAGGGTACCATGGCAGCCACGAGGTGATCGGCGTGCTCTCGCGCCTGTCTGGACTGCAGAAACTGGACCTTCATTGCCCCGCGGAGAGCTTAGAAGAGGGGGATGTGATTCTGCTGGAGACCCCGGTCAACCCGCTGGGTACAGCGTTCAGCATCGAGCAATTCGCCCAGAAGGCTCACTCGAGAGGCGCCTATCTCATTGTCGACAGCACCTTTGCTCCTCCAAGCTTGCAAGACCCCTTCCAATGGGGCGCTGATCTAGTGATGCATTCCGGATCCAAGTATTTTGGAGGCCACAGTGACCTTCTCTGTGGTGTTCTGGCGACAAAGCGGCAAGACTGGACCAAGAAGCTGTTCGAGGATAGACTTGCATTCGGAAGTGTGATCGGCAATTTAGAAGCGTGGCTTGGTCTGCGTAGTCTGCGTACCCTAGAAGTGCGTGTGGAGCGCGCAAGCCAGAGCTCTGAAAGACTCATCTCATGGTTGAACCAAGGACTGAACGCCCAGAGCCCAGCTCCAGGTAGCGAAGAGCAGATCATCCAGAGCATCGTGCAAAAGATTCATCATGCCAGCTTGCAAGATGAGCCTTGGGTGCGGAAACAGATGCCAAACGGCTTTGGTCCTGTTTTCTCGATTGTTCTGCAGACGGAAGACTTCGCACGGGTCCTGCCAAGCAAGCTGCATCTCTTCCAGCATGCCACCAGCCTTGGTGGGGTTGAGTCCTTGATCGAATGGAGAGCACTCTCCGACTCCAGAGTCGATCGGAAGCTCTTGAGACTCAGTGTTGGGTTGGAAAACTGGGAGGACTTGAAGAACGATTTGCTTAAAGCCTTCAAATCCCTTCTGTCGCAATCATGATTTAATGTCACGAATTCTCTTTTGCTGTACATATTGAGATATACCGTTTCTGGAATGCTGTTGTTGTTTCATTAGTCTCTTCCCCAAAGACAAGATTTCGAATATTATACCCAATTATCTAGAGAATCACTGCTGGAAAATCTACCATGCTAAATACGACCTACAATGAAATCAGCCGTATATCGTCGGTATCATCTGATTCTTATGCAGGTCGTATGCTCCATGACTCGTAGATAGATAAAGTTTAGCATAGGGCCGTAAACCTTGGCGCGAGGGTCCACAATCAAGTGCTCACGGAGGACCCTAAGCGATGCCTAAAAGGGCTGGAAGACCCTATATTATTTCGTTTTCCAACAGTCTTCCCCCATGGCTCAGTGGTTCCTGCGTATCATGTGACTGATGGAGAAGCTGAAACTCGACAGGCATTGCCTGAAGGGGTTAGTGCCGATCACAGGGAGCTCAAGAAATTCAAATCGACGGGCGCCGCTCAAAACTTTATTCTAACGTTCTACCATAGCTTTGATCTTGTTCCATGTATGCTGCGTTCTCTAGCGGGGCTCAACGGTGAAGACAACCTTGGAATACTGGCTCTTCATCATGGCGCTTATTGCAAATAGCTGGCACTAATCACCTGATGCTCCCCCGCATTGAGATGCACAATGTACGACCCTTGTTATACATGTCGCGTCGGCGCATCCAGTGTGACCAATCACAGACCCCCTGCAAGAAATGTCTGAAAGCGGGACTAGAATGCTATGATAAGAGACCCCTCCGATGGGTCAAAGGCGTGGCCATTCGAGGCAGGATGCAGGGGTTGACGGTGAAGGATGCGTCAGCTGCCTCGGCAGCCTTGGCCACGTTGGATCGGGTTCCAAGGAAGAAAGGGAGTAAGAAGACAGTATCTTCTGCTTTGGTTAGGCGCGATCATAATGACCACACTGGTGAGGTCTCCATGGTCTATAGAGAGCCGTATGGCACGCGGTCTCCGATTTAAATGCGACTGTAGATCGGTCTGTATGCTAACTGAGGTCCTTGTGCTGTTCAGATGTAGTCGAGAATGAAACGAACCCATCAATGGCTCTGGAGGCTGGTCCCATCTCGAATTTGGATCGGACATCCAGGTACTACCTGGATTATTGTGAGTACATTTCGCGGCTGCGGGCGATCACCGCGTCCCGTGGCTAATATCCATCTCTAGATAACTACCAGATATGCAAGGTATTCATCGTTCATGACAGCGAGGAGAATCCTTTGAGAAGGCTGATATCTCTGGCTGTGAACGATTCACTGCTACTGAAGGCGGTACTTGCCCTCGCGGCACGCCACAGGGCCAATTCCGGTTATTCCTTTGAAAATGCTGTAGTGGGGTCTTCCCCGGACCTCCTGCAGATTCACCAGGATGCTCTCGTCTTCAAACATCAAGCTATACAAGGGCTAACGCATGCGTTGAACGATCCCACAATATCCGAGCAGGACACGACAGTAGCTTCCATTTTCCTTCTTATATTTTTAGATCTCTTAGAGTCCGGAAGCGACAAATGGAACTTCCACCTCGAGGGCGCTAAGAGGCTGATTACCAATGGCCATTTGCATGAGGTGCACGCTGGAAGTTCCAAGGATCCAGGACGGACTGTGGAACAGATAAGAAAGTTCATCATCAAACAAATCCATGTGTATGTGCATTAGTCCTTGAATCGATAAGACTGTATACGCTCTGGCTAACGGGTCTTTTCTTCAGGATCGAGTCCCTTGGGGCCACCTTTGTCCGTCCTAAGTTACTATCCGGGTGCGCCTCGTTAGACCATCCAGAGTCCTTACTGAATGAAACAGTTGAACAATCTTTCATTGGGTGTCCCGAGTACTTATTACATGCCGTGCAATGTCTTTCAGCCTACCGGGACAGCATGGTCGAGTCCCAGCCACAGACCTCCACGACCAGTAACACACACATGCAAGATATAACGAGCGTGCTTGATTTAATACATAAATTTGACTGTTACACCTGGGCATCAAATCTACCAGAGTCACAGAAGACCTCGTCGCGATATCTAAGCAACCTCTGCAAACTGGCACAGTCGTACAAACTCGGGGCTCAAATCTACGGTCAGCGCGTCTTGGATGCTCTGCTCAGCGTGACTACCCCACAAGAGGAGCTTGTCTCTGAGTTAATCGGCGTCATCGATGCGTTACGAGACGACGGCAGGTTATTGAAATGCGTTCTTTGGCCGATCTTCGTTGCCGGCCTCGAATGCCGGTCGCAGGCCCAGCGAGACTTTTTAATCACTTCCTTGGAGAACTTCTGGTTGGACACGAACTGTTTGAACGTGGTCAATGCCGCCAAGGCATTGCAGTCGTATTGGCAAAAGACTGACAAACAGACGTCCTCCACACAATGGATCTTTGATATCGGAGACCTAGACCACGACTGGCTTTTTATTTGAGTCTTGGCTGTTGAATTTCTACGATCCGTCCGAGTGGACTCTGTCCGACAGCTATATCGCAGGCATTTTTGTCAACTGTTCGCCGTTTGTGCATCTCGCGCTGATATTGCCTGATTATGTCGCTCGCGATAGCTTGATTATAAAAACAGCGGAACTGGGCAAGACATGCACCTCAAGGCTCTACCATGGTTTGCTGGGGCTATTCTCTCAAGAAGGACCACCACAAACAACTCATATATAGACGAGCATTCAATCTCTAATGACACTTAATATAAAACAATAAACCTCTCTACCGCTAGGACGGCAAGGATGTACGCAACTGCGCATGAAGAGAAAACTTCACCTATCAGACCCGCTTTTATTTTTCATTATATGATAGAGCTACGCAAACGTAATGGAGGAATGCTCCTCGTCCTGAACGAAGCACGTCTCGCGAGCTTGCTACCGTGGCAAAACAACCTATTCACTCTTCGTCGGACCGGAGTGACACAAGAACGAGCAGCAACACACAGTGCATTTCCCATTCACCATGCGCCAGCTAGCTAACCAGGCTTCTAGATAAGCTTAATGTACCACTCCTGGCGCGGCGCACCAGCACTTTCGGGCCAGAGCCAAGTAGCAGTATCATTTGCGGGGTTTCCATTGCCCAGGTCGAGCAGGTGGTCTGGCAGGGCCACACTGCGGAATCTGCGGAGAGCAAAACAAGGGTGGCCAGAAACGTTTGCATTGGGGTATATAGTGATTATCGAT